TCTCCCTCTTCTCGTTCCTGCATTGGGCTCGAGATAATTGAGCCTAGCCAGCGAAGGCAGGCAGCGCCGTGCCTACTCTGGACGCATAATCTCGATTTGCTTTTACCTCGCAATGGAAAAAAAATATTTCAGCTGTGTTAATCGAAGAATTAATTATCAAATATTAATTTGAGAACTCTGATCGTAAACTGGGTAGGCACTGCCTACCCTGCCTACCCTGACGAGCCGCCACTGGTTGGCAGCCCAGCCCAGTTTAAAATCAGAGTTCTCAAACTATTATTTGCTAATTTATTCTACGATTAACACAGCTGGAAATATTTTTTCCCTCCCAATTTCCCTTGCAGAATTAGATTATGTGTTCAGAGTAGGCGCAGCGTTGCCAGTTTACGATGGCTAGAGTCAAATCTCCACGAATCCAAAGCAGGAACGAGAAGAGGGAGAGAGGGAAGAGAACTGTAGTCCTAGAATGAGACACGATAGGCTTGCCTATGTTGCAAAGTAACTCCTTGCGCACGAAGGTAAGGATGAGAATCGTTTGCCCACGCCCTCCGCTCAGAAGCGCTTGCTTGTTGAAGCCTCGATTGTTGTCACACCTGATCTCATCAGGTGTCATACGATATTGTCATACAGACTGAATAAGGAATGATTCCGGACAGATTTCTATCAGTCCCAGTGAGGATCGTGGCGTTACCAGGGGAACGGTGGTAACTCTATGTGAGTACCCAACATGAGATAAAATAGCATAGATAAAAAATAGATAACATAGAAAAAACTTGGAGCAGAAGTACCTCTCTGATTCTTGAGTACAAAAAATATCCAACTTTTGAAATATGTCCCCTAGGACGGGTTTATGGGAGGGAAGTATTTCAAGATATATTTTTCGCTCTGATAAATCGGGGCACATGAAAAGACTTGAATTACACAAGACATCAACCCTCATATTTATGAATATTCGAATATTTAAAATGAATTAATTTAATCATAGATAATAGAGCGCCGAAGGTGCGATCATAACGAGTTTGTTACGGGCAAACAAACACGCGATTAAAAGAACGACACGGCCGTGAGGTCGGAAGGATCGGGCCATTGAGCCATTGAGCACTTCGCAGGAGGAGATCTTCATCTGAATTGATTCAGATGGAGTCTGATGAAGTCATCTGTATTCATTCGGGTGAAGTCGTGGAGATACGAGGACTCGAAAAATACACGCGAGATACATTATGCACAGGTTAGATATTCCCGTCTGTCGGAAAAGTTGCAAAAACGGATTTATGGGCAGTGGGTATGGGTCGCAATGGAGGGAATTTCAATGCCTTTCACGTTAATCGTTAACGAGGCGAAAATGTTATCTTTTAACCTAGAAAGCTCCGAAAATCCTATTAATGTGAAGTTCGTTGTTACAGCCACGATCTGTTGAGCTTATCTCGCCAGTCAGTGCACGAATTCGATCCCGATTCAACAGGAAGAAATAGATGGAAGAGCAGGAACGGAAATCGACCCCGGAAAGAAAGGTTTGTCGACAGTCAAACAATCGGTCGCAGAGGAGAAGAGAAACTCTTCCGAGCTGGGTCATTTATCCGATAGGGAAAGCAGTCCGACCGGCACGATTGCGATGATATGAAGAGGTTGGCTGAGCTAAGCCCGCTGGAAAGGTTCGAGAAAGATCCTCGACAGAATGCGATGATGAGGGTTCGCCTTGCTGGGTACGAGGAGCTCCCGTTCCCCGAGGGCGCGGAGAAGTATCAGAAACAATTCTATCCGGAAGCAGAGAAACGGGCTTACTCTTTTCCTGCTGGCTACGTTCTCAGAGATTCGCGTCAGAATATATTATTTGGAAAGATGAAGAGAGCAGAACCAGGCAGCGAAGACCCGAAAATTCAATCAGACTTCACGGCAGTAGCCAAACTCTTCGACTTCCTCAAGGAGGAACTGGCCAGCACTCCCAGTTTCGTCACGTATGATTATGATTTCTCCACTACTTTCTATAAGGCGATGGGGATCGCGGGAAAAGAGACCGGACGTGCAAAGGAATATTGGAAGAAAGAGGGGTTTCAAATCGCCGAGGGTGAACAGGACCTGTGCGGTATCGTCCTGGACGGCGACCGAGTCGTCGTGCTTTTCTTCGAAGTCAAGAGCAGGGGACAGAAGGATGTGAAAGCCCCACTGAGGAATATCGTAGGGGGGGCAAAAAATCAGTTGAAAAGGAACGAAAGCGTATTTCGACAGATTGTTGGTGCCACAGCTTTTCGTCGAACTTTCTCGAGTAGCTTCGTTGCACTTCCCTTTACGACGAGGGTGGAGGCGATGGAGTCCTTGAAATGTTGCCACGAGCATATCCTCACGATGGAGAACTTGGAGTCTCGCCGCGCCTTCGCAGAATTTCTTCGACGACACGGAATCGATCTTTCGCGGGAGAACGCGCCGGAGCCGCATCCGGAGGCCGAGAGGTGCTACTTGGACGTGATGAGAACTTATGCGGCGGCCTCTGCGTCCGTGGAGGGAATGCCAAGGACGGGAGAAGATCTTCGTCGGAAGGTCGAGGAGAGGATGGAGCAAGTCTTGGTTTTTCTGACGCCTCATCAGAAGAAAATTTTGAATCAGAAGAATCTACGTGTTCTTTTTCTTGTTGGAGCGCAGGGTACACGGGAAAAACCTGTCTTCTTCTCGAGAGAGCCCAACGATTAGCAAAGAAAGGTGAAACCGTCATTTTCGTGAACATGTCGGAAGGGGAGCTGACGAAAACACTTCGAGATTGGCGTGAGTCGCACGAATTCAAGGCAAACATAACAATTAAAGATGCAACCGAATTTGTGGGCACCGATCGTCCAACGATTCACAATTTTTTCGAGAAGATCAACTGTGAAAAACTTAGTCATGTCATGATCGACGAAATGCAGATCAACTTCAGTATGGAAGAAAGTGACTTTGAGGAGATAGAACGGAATTGGGTGAACTTGGCTGGCAAAATTTGCTGCAAAAGCCTTTGGATCGTTTGGCGGTCTAGTGATGTAAACTACCCGAATACCCTTGATATAAATAGCATCATGGATAACTTGGGACCAGAAAAGCTTCAGATGCTCACTGAAATAAAAAGAACCACGAAGGAAGTGGGGGAGTTCGTGATCGAAGTGACCCGATTCATTCAGAAGAGGTTCCCATGCATGACGTATCTCCCGATGCAAGGCCTGGAATATCGACTTCATCGAGGTCGAGAGAAACAATTGCCCCGAGTCGTCTTCGTCCGAGCCCCCCGCGCTGAAGATTTTGTTTTCCTCTGGGCATCCGATGTCGTCGTGGCGATTCGATCATGGATGCCGGATTCCCAACCCTTCACTATCATCACCAGGGAAGAAACAGAAAGGAACGTATTGATAAAGGAGCTCGGCCGTAGGCTGGGCGGCGGAGTCGCCTTCCTCGACTCCGAGGGGACGCTTCGAGGACGACCCGAACGCGGATTCCTCGTGCTCTACGAAGAACAAGTGACCGGGATGTCATTCCAGAATCTCATTCTCTTGGACGATGCAATGAACCCCTATCGGTCTTGGTCTCGCATGGTGTGGATGGCCCGCGAGTCCATGCACATCGTCACCACGGATCCACTTCCCTGCGGTCACTGGGAAGAACCTGCACAGATGGGGCTCGTCACTTGCTGCTCTCTCAGAAACACTAAGAAGTCGATCGAAAAGCATCGTCTTCTTCTTCTTCAACTAGATCAACTAGCTCAACTAGACGAGTCTTCTTATGAAGAGATCTCGTGGAGCAATTTCTCGGAAGAAGGTTATTGCGCTCCACCAGGTGCCAAGACTGAGGGAAGTAAACTAGAACTTTTCTTTGGGCCGAATCGTTCCGGCAAGACTGCATCTCTCATCGATAGGTTGAAGCGGAAAGCCGGGATGGAAGGCGATGAGGTCGTGAAGCCCTGTGAGGCTCCGTCGATGATGAAAGTGGGAAAGAGGAAAGCCGAGGAGGAATTCGATGCAGGGGATGTAATCATGAAGGAATTCATTGAAGGTATTATGAAGGACTTTATGATTCCATCGATGAAGGAATTGATTGAAGGTGTGATGAAGACCTCCATGGTTTCGTCGGTGATGAAAGATGACGTAGACGACGCTCCTTCGATGATGAAAGCACAAAACGAAAGGACGAGCAAAAAACAAAAGATACCATCAAAACCATGGCTGGTCTTTGTAGACTGCAGCAGATGGGAAAGAAAAACTTATCCTCGCAGTCTCTCCGTGGTGCACGTGAAAGAGATGATGAGAGAAATTTTCGACGGGATCGAGATCTACGACGTCCACGACCTCATACAGCAGCATGGGCTCCAGGCCAACTATTCTCCTTCACCCCAAGTCATGGAAGAACTCGTGAAGAAGATGCTGGAGAAGGGAACGAAGGAAGGACGCAGACTCCACGTCGCCTTCGACGACCTACCCGTTCACGGGTATAACATGCCTGGAGACACGGCGAGCTTGAGCGCGGAATGGGGGAGGATGCTCTCGTCCCTCGAGTCGCACGCTTCTCTGGCTTCTCTCGCCATCGCCTTCCAGCCGTATATCGAATATGCCAAGGCCACTTTCGACGTGAAGGAATTCGAGAAGGGATTGGGATTATCTTTCCAAATAAGTAAGATGCAACTTCTCCTGACACATTCGTGCAATGCGCGACGAAACCGTTCCGTATCCGAAGACGAATACATTTTCTATACCGCTCATCCCAACCTAATGGGGTCGTAGTCCGAGCAACCTGTCTAACAACCCTGTCTACGCGGTCGGGAACAGCCGCTCTCCTCAATTGTATACTATGAATCCGTCAGCCGCCAGGGCTGGAAGGAAAGTGGATGTTTTCGTGGAAGACGGACACCCCGACCCAGGCGAAAAGCTGCGCGTGCGCATTGGGTCGTATTGTCCGGTCGCTATGGTTATCGCAGATAGACGGAATGAAAAATAAGTGAGACGCCGACCGCAATATCTGACCTTCCCCCATAGTACCTATGGGAATGCCAGATAATAACTTAGCGTAGGAAAGAGCTGGGAGCATGAAAATTGGGGATTACGTACCCTGTTGTCTGGAAAGTCGTATCCAGTGGGGGTGATTATAAAAATGTAGGAATCGGCCACCGCCTTTTTGGATAAGCAAATGTACACGTCGGAGCATGCTGGAAGCGAAAGGCGGCGGGATGGATTTTGGCGATGGATCGCGAGGTGTTCATCCGAAATGTATGGACTGTTGCTGTTGGCATCGTCCTTGACATGGCCCCAAGCGACAGATCCGGTTGAGCGTGGGGCCACGGTCCCTTCGAAATGATGCGCGGTCACCGAATGAGAGGCTCGGCGCGGTCCTGCTCTGCCTCGATGCGTCGACTCGTCGCTCCATCTTGCTGCTGCCGATCTCCTCTTCTGTCGTGAGAAAATTCATAGGATGGGAGAGCAGACACTTTCCAGACAAGATGCGTCACCCCCAATTTCTTTCTTTCTCCTTCAAAACTTTTAAGTGTGCTCTTTTCAATGGGTTTTTATTCATCATCGTAGCTTTTATAGTTTCAAAGTTATTGATTTTTTAATGGTGGTATATTGGCTGAAGTAACCTATATGATTCAATCAGAATCGTAATACGTATCATACAATACCTTTTGATTGTTGCATCCTCAAATCTATTTGCCTTAATGCTCCCTCTTTCCCCCGGAACAGAGGTGAGGATTCTCGAGGGATGTCACGACGTGGGTTTCCCCAGCCTCATTCGTTACGTCCTCGCTCACGAATCTCCCTGGGAGCTTCGGGTGAGGCCGGGGACCCTGAACACCCGGCCTCGTCCTTCCTCCCTCGTGTTCGGGGAGAAACCCGTGCTCGCGACCCCGCCCTCTGGGTTGCACTACCACGGGGGGTGGAAGTGCGTGGGTGGTCGGGGGAGAGGCTGCGTCGCCGTCACCGCTGCAGCCGTGTTTCGCTCTCGCGTTGCGGTATGTTTTGACCTATGCGTCGTGGTGAGCGCTTTTCCGGTGGGTTCGATGTTTTGGATCGTAATTACGTAAACCTGGGGTTTTCTCTATGATCTTCAAAAATGTTGTGCATTACCATGTGAGAGTCACCGCGCTTTGTTCGTGGAATTGACTTCGTCTTTCTCCTGAAATATCGCATTTAATAAAGTTGCCTCCGCGTTTTGTTAGCATATGCAAATCCGGACAATTACCTCCCTCGAGTCGTGCCATATCCTTGAAACTCCAACCAATTTCGAGAGCTATTGCTGAGTTTTTAATTCCAGAAATTAGCACACTCTCCTTTGCTCTTAGAAAGGGACGAGAAACGCGGTGGTGCTGGTCTCGGACGAAGAGACCAAGCAGACTTTCTCCGAAGCTCTCCGTCTGATGGACTCGGCGATCGGGTCGACGGGTACGCCGCGCATCCGTCACGTGGAGGAATACAGGGGATGCGAGAATTCCGTCGTGATGTGCGTGGGGGTCGAGGACGCGTGGATGGTGGAGGGCATCTCCCGGGCCATCCACACTCTCGTCATCGTCGACGGGGGAGCCTCCAATTCCGCCCGGAGCCGGATGGGACTCTGGATGGAAATGGAAAGAAGGGGCCTCCTCGTCCATCGCCCCTTGGCGAATGCTTCCGACCTCGATTTCCTTTCCGATGACGACTGGAAGGCGTTGAATCGAAGAAGCATCTTCCTCAAGGTGAAATATCAAGTCTCTCGCGTGCATTTCTCATATCGTCCCCTCGTCTCTTGCGCTTTTAATCTATTTTGCCTTCTCGCAACACGAGAACGAATGATCGCGTGTGTGTTCCTCTCCGCAGATCCGTAGGAGTGGTACGATGGATGATGAAGATGCAAGGATTTCTTCTCCAGAAGGTAATTTAAAGCCATCGGCGATGCTCGTCATTTCTTCCAGGAACTTTCTAATATATTTTTTTGCTTACCGTTGCTAGGAGTTTTCTCGAATCGGTTCTCTTTCCCTTGCAGGGGCAAAAAGGATTTTCGCCATGGGGAATAAAGACGCGCGAGCGGGGATGTGGGAAATCCTCGAGAACACTCTCTGGGTCCAGGAAGGGTGTTCTGCCGCGGACGTGTTTCTCGCCCGCTCTGACATGCTGATCTACGGGACAGGGGGGGAAATACGGATTCTTCATTTAGAGGGGAAGGATCCCAGTGAGGCCCCTCACGGATGGGACCACAACCTTCGCATCGCCCCTTCTTTTCCTTTTATCGTCGATGGAACGACGGGGGTCGGGATGGGGGAATCACTCTTTCTTGTGGGAGGGCACAGTAATCCCCGTTCGGGACTCCGACTGGATCTCCACGGTGGCGAATGGATGCCTCTTCCGAAGGTCATCGAGGGGAGAGTGGATGCAGCTTTGGTGATGGGGGACCCTCACAACATCCTCATCTTGGGGGGAAGGGACCCCGAAAAGAGGCAAATTCTCTCCAGCTGCGAGTGCTTGGACACGCGGCAGGGAGCGTGGTCCCCCTTTCCCCTTCCCATCCCCCTTCCCATCGTCGGCCACGCAGCGACCATCTACGGTGATCACCTATGCATTTCGGGGGGATGGGACGGAATGGAATCTCGGGGGGAAGTGTGGAGGTGCAGGGCGAACGAGGAAGGACCCTGGGACACGCTTCCCCCGCTGCAATTAAACAGATATTTCCATGGGATGACGTGTGGCAGCGCGGGGGAACTTCAAGTCATCGGCGGGATACATCAAAGGAAATATGATGTCTCGGAAGTCCTCTCCTCGGAGATGCTGACCTTCGATGAGGGAAGAGGATGGGAGAGGCAACAGGATCTTCCCTTCAAATATGTGCTGAAAGCATGTGAGATGAAGTGATAGAGAGGGTGAAGGATGGAGAAGGAATTTTTTTCTTTTTTTCCTGGGGAGACCCGGGAGTTTTCTCTCGAGGACACAGGAGGAAACCCTTCTACCTCATAATACGGCGGGTAGTACAATAGGTAATGAATGAAACTTCAAGAACTTCTTCATTTGTAACAACTGGAACTTAGTACCTTCAGAGCCCTTCAACATATTTTCCGCCAGCATCAACGCCCTTTTTGGACCAATTTAGAGAATCCTATTTAACCCTTTCAGAAACTGACGCCCATTCCAATGGACATGGATTTTCATTGCGTCTATGGTAATTTCTTGAGATTCTCTTGACTTTGCGCCCCATACTACACTGCAATGGGCGCAATTATGCATGGCTCAATTCCACCGGAGGCCTTCTTTCACCCATGTTTTGTAATCTTCAATTATGTAATTAAATATATAATACATTACATATGGTATCATATGGTAAATTTATACAAAATACAAAAACGATATATAAAACATAAAAATTTAAATTAAATTAGCGAAAGAGCTCAAAATGCAAAAAATATATATTATTCCGATAGTGGCCTTAATTCAGATCTGAAAAGGTTAATGCTTTTTTGGTATTCCTTGAAGCACCAGTCTACCGAGTCTGCCCAAAGTTCTGGATATTCTTTGTTGCTTGCGTGGTTGCATGAGTGAAGGAAATGTTCCAACCATTTTTTTTTAGTTTGCTTACTCTGTTGGCTCAGCAAATAAAGAAAGATTAGATTTCTCCTTCTGAAAATGAAGGCCAAAAGAGGGGCAGTTTTGCAGCTGCACAATGCTGGAATGCGTCCCGGAGAGATTGTAAAGGAACTTAGGAGCCTCGCCATCGACCGGCCGATCGAATTCGTCTGGAGGACCCTGAAATGATTCATTGAGACAGGCTCAACTGCTGACCGTTCGAGGGGTGGTCCGAGGTCCAAATGTATCCCTGAGGCCATCAGGTCCATCATAAGAAGAAAAAACGGAAAACCGGACTACTTGATAAAAGGACTAGCAGGATTTATTTGGTTTCTTTCGTTGGGTTGACTGGGAGTACCTAAATGAAGGGTGGGTGGTGTGATTAAAACGCTATTGGCCGTCATACGGTCGGTTGACTTCACGAATTCGGAAAACACGGGAATCTCGTGAATACGGATTCGTTTCTCGACGACCCTTTTTCGAATCGTTCGATAAAGGCGTCGTGAATTGGTCGTTTCGAGGACATATTTCATTCGGTCAGATTCGATCTTCTATTTCTGTACTGGCGATCGTCCGCCCAGTCGCAGACTCGAGGTTCATCGCGGAATGCATTGGAATTTCCTTCCGTTGGGAAAATAGACACTGACTACCGGATTCCCTCACGGATCCGCGCGAGATACGCAGAGGGACGCAGGTGAGCATCCTTCCCAGGTCTTATCGACGCCAGGTGGTCCTGGTTCCTTCGCTTTCCATTCATAAGAGAAAGGAGAGTCTCGTCGATGAAGGATAGAAGGAAAATGATTAGTGAAAATGTTTTTCGCGTGGGGGAAGTGGGACCCCATTATTACAATAGTGCAAATTTTATTGGGCATTTCATATATTTTATTGCCAGTGAAATAACTTTTTCCCCTCGGCCAACATTTATTTGGCGCTGGTTCTTCATCTATGAATGAACTGTCATCACCTTGGGCAAACTAAATCACCATCTACCTCATCGCAATTTTTCTGCTGAATATGAGTAGTTATGATTTTATAATATCATGAATATATCTACGCTTTAGAATTGGTCAGGGGTTCCCACAGATCAAATGATGCGTCCCCTGAACTTCCATCCTTCAAGTAAATAGAATATTCCCAAACGGCATCAAAGAGTTGCATTCGTCCCAAGTAAAGCCTGCTCCAGCGACCAGGGTCACAGGCAATTCGCGTGGGGAACCTCAAGGAAAGTATTGAACATATGAACAGCTGAATGCCGTCCAGACTAGCTATAACAGGTTCTTTAGGGTTATCTATCGTAGATTGCATGAACCTTTTTTCTCTAGCTGCTGTCAGATAGATAGCAGAGTCATGTTCAAGAGAAAAAAACCTTTTTAACGTTCAAAAAGCCTGTCGTCCCTAATACTTGAACGTGAAAGAACCTCTTTGAACTGGGGCTAAGCCAACCGCAACATTCTTGTGCTACTTGGGATCGTCACCTGACAAATTCCTTCCTCTCTTCCAACCTCTATTTATTGACGTGGATGCTGTGTCAATTTCTTGTAAGATGCGATTTCCATTTTATATTGATAATTATTGCGCCTTCGTATTAATAACTTGTCAAATTGTATCTCCGTCAATATACTGTATAAGTAACATGTAAGATCAAGTTGATGTAACTAATAGGCATGTCATCTTTTCCAAGAAAATAATGTCATCAACAGTCATGTCAAACCTTCCAACATGCATGAAATTCTCATCATAGTGACGTAGTATTAATATGAAAGAGTCAATATGTGTGATACTTGCCATTTTTCAAGTGCGACTTCAACCGAGAGGGGTACAATATAAAGGACTATTAATCATGCTCTAGAGGTAGTCGATTCAGAATCCATTTATTGTTTAAATCTCATCGGAATCGATGAAAATGGAGTAGCCACTCGGCAATCATGGAAATCTGTCGTGGCAGTTCTGAAAGTCGATCGGGTCCAAGTCTTGAAAGTCGGTTCCATCGGTGCAGGATCCCTTCACTTTTGCCAGGAATTCAGGATTCAGCACGATCCAGGCCATGGTGCAATCACACACCACAGGATTATCTGGAACACAGAAAATCTGAGATATGACACATGCCCTGCATCAATGAGAACATTGAACGAGCGGAATCTCACCATTGAGATCGATTTCCCGAATCTTCTCCAGAATAGGGCGGAAAGGTTCCTCTCTCAATACTGAGATTTCATTTTCACTTAGATCTATCCACGCGGATTCTCTGAAACCTGAAATAAAACGGGGAACTAATTTTCAGCCTCTAAAGGAAACAAATACTGGGACGTGC